TGAACGAATATGTTACCCTTGCATCTTGTAAGATCAATTGTATGAAATATGATATTTTAGGCTTGAAGCGATCCGAAATTTCCCATAACTTTCAAATTCCATTGCCTCGAGTTGCTTGAAATTGTCGGATTTCATGAACTGATGTAGCCATCTTTGCAAATTTAAAATAAGAGAAACCACATACTATTGTTGAATCAACTTGGGGAATATTATTGTTAACAGAGAATAGGAATAGAAAGGGTAAGAAGAAACTACATAAAGCGCTATCTGCCATAGATTTAAAGCAGTTATGGTTGCCGTAGATAAAAAGCAGTTACGGAGTTAGGTTTCTGATTGTTGATGAAGCCCACGTTTGGGATCGTGGGGTTTTTTTTCTTCTTTTTCCCCCGTTTTATTGGACAAATTTGAAAATCTAACTATTTAGGTATATATTAATAACTTAAGAAAAGGCCTAATCCCAACGTGAAGATAAAAAGAAGGCCTAATCCCAACTTGACGTGAGAGGAATTAATTATTATTTTTATTACCTAGATTTGATAAATAAATTCCAAAATACCAAACAAATATACGTGGGGGAATTATGATTTTTTTGGTTTGTTTTAAGTGGCAGATTTTTGAAATAATTTAAACTCCAACAAAGTTGGAAAATTGTCCTAAATTTAGACACTTGTCAATTTAATATTATACCACTTGTCATCATAACATTTATTTGCCTCTCCTTTTATATATTAATAGATTGTTGAATATTTTCTTTGTTATTTGTTCTAAGTATTGAATGTAATTTTAGTCATTATACAAAAAATGGGTGAAGAAAAGAATATGTTATTTTAGTAGGTAAAAATGTATTATAGTTCGAATATATAGAGTGCCCTTTAAAAATAAATAGAAAAAAAAAAGAAAAGAAAAAAAGAAAGAGAGAGAGATAACCTTCTTCAACTCTAATTCACCCTTCTCAATAAATTTATGTAAGATATTATAGTTGTGTAACATAGTCTAAATAAGTAAACAATTTATATTAGAGTCCTAATTATTAGAACTTCCTACATAATTTAAATAAGGAAAAAAAATAAGAATAAAATTTAAATTGACATCATAGTCCTAAATATTAGGAAAGTAACTTAATTACTATTTTATCTAATGTGAAATTAATTTTGAAAGGGTAAAAAATACGAACGACGTTTCGCTAAGGACCTTCGTGCTTTTAATATAATATATAGATTACTGCAGTTTGATCTTAGTAATTATAATTTATTTAATAATATAAAGAAATAAATATTTTTATTGATAGTTGAACTCAGGACTTCCGCAAACTAACCGAGCACTCTAACCGGAGTTTGTTGCTCTCTTGTTTCGGTTCAAAATAATCAATCTATTACTTCATGTATTTGCTATAAAATTCAAATATAATTATGAATGGTAAATTTGCTAAAAGTGCAACTAGGAATATTAAATACAGTGCAAATGTTTGATGTGCCGCGTAATTTTTCCATTAAAAATTAATGTACCTTTAGCCATTTTATAATTACGCTTTAAATAGTTTCATTAAAACTGGTAGTTTGGAAAAATTTTATTTTGTGTCTCATACAACTTACGCTAGTTGTATGAGGTAACTTTTTGTCTCACAGTTTTGTGGACCCAGAATTCTGTGGACTCAGCAGTGTAAGATTGGGGTCCACAATTTTGTGAGACAAAAAGAAGCCTCATACAACCAGTGTCAGTTGTATGAGACACAAAATAAAACTTCTCGATAATTTGACCCATTTTATATTGCCACATAAGCCTTTTCCCTATTAAATCAATTCATTAATCATGATAGATTATTGCATTTGCATTTTAATTAGTACTCATATAATTCTTCGAAAGTGGTTGATATAAAATTGAAAGTTGAATTAAAATACCTACATTAAAATCGAATCAGAATACATCTAATTTTTACGATGGAGAAGGGTCAAAAATATCATTCTACTATTATAAAATGTTCACTTATACCCTCCGTTATACTATTAGTCCACAACAGCCCCCGACGTTATAAAATTAGTGCAAAAATACCCCTCTGCCGTTAAGACCCTCCATCATGGCAAAATTATCCTATGTGGCTTGACACGTCGCTGAGGTGGATGCCACGTGGCATGCCAGGTCATTGCAATTATCCCCTTTTACCCCCTCCCTAACTTCTTCTTCCGCCACTACCTCCCTCTTCACTCAATCACCGCCAACATCACCTCCCCTTTACCACCTTCACACTTATTCTTTTACCACCGTTAAATCACTAATTTTGACCACTATTCTTTCGCTAAAATCAAATTGAATCGAAGATTTTGAATATGATGCAATACAATTACGGAAGAAAGAGAGAATAATAAGGACAAATTACATAACAGGCACCTAAAAATGGCCAATATATAATATAACGAGAGATAAAGATATTGCTGCTTCAAGGATTGTTTTATTAGTTGAGAGTTGAGACAAAGTGTTTATGGTTAGAAGATGGAAAAATTACTGAAATAGGATTCCAGTTCTTAAACATCATGAACACTAGGTGCTCGCTAAGCCAAATTCAATTTTGACTGAGAAATCACATATATCTTGAACCCATACACTGTAAATGCTAGATTGCTCCGAATTTAGGTTCGCTACCCATAATTACCAAGATATATAAGTACATTTTTATCGAAAAATCAAAGGCAAGAAAGTGCAGTCCAAGAAAATATTATTGTTCTAGTTTCCTAACTAAACTAGCTATCTGTATCTGTCACCAATTTGACTTTAATTAGATTTCATACTTTTTTGTTCGCTTACTTATTTATTAAATACAGGATTTGCTTCTGAACCGGATACTGCACACAATACTTTTCGATTCAGTTGTTTTTTGGTGAACAAATGGTGGTCAAGAGTAGTGGTTTGATGGTGGTGGAAAAATAGGTGTATGGGGAAGGAGGAGGTAATGTTAGTGGTGCTTGGGTGAAGAGGGAGGTGGTGGTGGAGTTGGGAAGGGGGTAAAACGGGATAAGTGCGATGAGGTGGCATCCACCTCGGCATATGTTAGGCCACGCAGGATAATTTTGTCATGTTGGAGGGTCCTAACAGCAGAGGGGTATTTTTGCACCAGTTTTATAACATCGGGGGTTATTATGGACCAATAGTATAACGGACGGTATAAATGAATATTTTCGGATAGTAGAGGGATATTTTTGCACCAGTTTTATGACATTGGGGGCTATTATGGACCAATAGTATAACGAAGGATATAGATGAACATTTTCGAATAGTAGAGGACTACTTTTGATCCCTTTTCGTTTTTTACAATCAAGTTAGATATTTTTCATAAATTCCCATACACTTTTGTTCAACAGCTGACTTCCCATTTTCATGTCCACATCTCTCCTCTATATGCCTCGGCAGCCATAACTAGGGATTGAAAAACGGACAGGTCGAGTCGAATATGAGACGGGTCGAAAACGGGCAATGAAAAATATGGACAAATTGTCTGACCCGACTCATATTTAATAGGGAAAATTCCACATAAGAATAACTTGGCTCCCTACTTTTCAATTTTATAGCTCATATTTCAATTTACAACCAACTAGCCCAAAAATAATAGGCGAATACTCAACATTCAACTCCAATAGGTTCTCGAAATTACTATCTAATTTTTAAAAAAGATTGGTCAAGCTTTTAAGTTAATTTTCGAATCAGTAACTGTGACTCAAATATTAGTTCAACAAACCAAATCCATTTGGATGGTGAAAATTAGATTTTTAACAAGCTTAAATATGTTGGTTTAAATTTTGAATTTGATTTGTGAGAAATTTGGAGTGGATGTTATTTAGACTTATTAGAAATAGTATAAGGAGGTTGTATATAAAATTTGAAGTCATTTAATGGAGATTTGGACTGGTTTTGAACAAGAATTGCAACAGAAAATCGTGAAGAAATTCGTCTACAGACGCTTGTATAAAGGTGTATAAAATGTGTTTATACACTCGTATACACTATTATACAAGATTATACATAATTATACAAAAAACTGACTTTGTCTTCTTCCTTGCGTCTTTTCTGAAATTTAACTCAAATCTACTCCAAATCACTTCAAATTTAAAATTTGAACTCCTTTTGATATTTTCAATCAATTGGAACAATACCCAATCCAAACAACTAACAAACTCAAAAAAATCCTATTTTCGAAAGCAAAGCTTTGAATGGTCTTCAATGGTGGACCTTTACTCTTCAAATTTCTTACATTGCAACCAGGTGACACATGGGGAGAAGCAGTAACGGCGGACGATCCCTTGAAGCATATGTAGAAGATGTAAGAAGAAGAGAGAGTGAAAGTAATGGTTGTGAGAACACAATTTAACTCCATAACTTTTAGAAGCATTTGATTGTAAGAACGCAGATTTTGAGTTTGCTAGTGCTTTCAAAATATGTACAATATGGGCTAGGTCGGGTAAAAACTTAAAAACATGAACCATTTTTTATTATGGTGTGAAGTCATGTGTATTTTCTTGTAATTCTTTCATAAATACGGATAAAAAAAGGTTAACTCGCGGATAATATATGTAACCATATTATCCATGACTTCTTGAATATGATCACTATTGGGAGAATTACTGATCTCTCAAACTTGCGAAACTCTCAATTCGAGGTTTTACATTGGTTACCCATTAGTTACCCATTGGTTATCCATTTTCTAAATGGATAATATGATTATTATTCATACTTGACCCGTTTTTAAAATGTTCATTATCCAATTTATTTTTTAATGAATAATATGGGTGGTTAACTAGTTTCTTTTAACCATTTTGTCACCACTAGCCATAACCAGCCGCTTAAGGAAAAATAATAATCTTACATAAACATCCCAAATAAGTCCCAACTTAAATTGGTTATATTTTTTCTAAAATTTGGAAAATTACATCAAGGCCCAAAACACTAACAAATATAAACCCGGCCCGTGACTCACCACCTCGAGGGGGACTCGATTAAATAATCCGATACTGAACATAAGACAGCTCTAATTGCTAGTAAATGTGATGATTAGACAGCTGAGATAGCTAGTAATGGCGAGCAGCACAACCAGAGGAGGAGAAGACGAAGCGAAACAAATGGCAGCTGAGCTAAGCAAAACCCTAAAAGAAGGCGAAAGACTTCTCGCACCAACGCGACGCCCCGACGGAACCCTCCGTAAACCTATTCGTATCAGGGCTGGTTATGTGCCTCAAGATGAAGTCGCCATTTACCAATCTAAAGGCGCTCTTGTAAGTATACATTAGCCGTACATGTTGTTTTGGTTTATTCTGTGTGTACTTGTGTTGATTAATTGGTGCTTTGGGAAATGGCAGTGGAAGAAGGAAATGGAGTCACTGCAGGATGTTCCGCCGGGGTATGATCCGGTGATGGAAGCTAAACCTAAGTCTAAAGCTGCCAAGCGGAATGAAAGGAAGAAGGAAAAGCGTCAACAGGTTCAAATTAGTTCCCCTTCTCTCATTATTTCTTGTTTATTACTACTATACTTTAGTCAGCTCTGTTTTAGTTACGAGAGGATTAGTTTATATGGCCTGAACATTTTTTTGGGAACATTATTTACCTGTACCCATGCATCCGCCAAAGGTAAAAGCGCATAGGGGCGGATGTAGTGTTAATGTTATGGGTTCATCCGAACCCAATAGATTCACTTTGGACTATGTATATGTGATTAAAATTCACTAAATAAGTATAAGTAATAGATTCCGTACTCAGTAAATCAAATGGACTGTGGTAGAATCCCGAACATGAACCCATAAAATTCAAATCTTGGATCCGCCTTTGAAGGCCATGACATATGCTTTTACATAAGGTTTAGTATGTAAGCATGGTTAATTAATTCTATTTATTATTCGCTCGATTTGTCATTTAATCAAGGTTAACTAACATGGTTTAGTGCATGCACCTAGTCCAGTTAAGTTTTTTCCCCAATTTGTTTGGTCAACTGTCATAGCTGTTATTGCATTAGTTGCAGTGTTGCAGATCTTTAATCAATTTTATATTCAACCAAATTATTCATTTTCTTCAACTCTGAAACGACATAGACAGATATCTTATGACATAATAATATAAATGCACTGAAAATCTTGATGGCATGAGTGATGCATATGATACTGCTGTAAGATATAAGGTAATATAATAATGCACTGTATTTAATGTGCATTATGCTTAATGTAATGCAATTATATTGCTAGCTTATGCAAGTGGGTAGTAGCTGCAGTTCATGATGAAAGATTATCGAATCAAATGGCATTTAATCGGGCTTCAAAGTTGGCCATACAACCATATTGGACCTAAGCTGGTTTCTTATAATGCGGTTTCAGTCGTAGTACCCCCAATGGCTTGTAGGTCTCTCTATTTGTGCATGCACCAGAAAAGCTAATAGGTTTCAGTTTCCCAAGTTCTTCTAATTCTAACTTGCTCGATAAAAACCTGGATTAGCAGAAAATCCTTCACCAAAGCTGGCGAGCAAGAGCAAGGATGCATTCCTAGGCTATCGTAATTCAGTCAGCGTAATATGCGACAGCAAACCAACAACTAAAGTTAGACACCTTGTTATCGGATGTATGTTTTTATAACGAGCAGATATCTTATCAATGAAATAGCACCATGAAGGTGCAGGTATATAAAAAATACATGTAGAAGGCCACAACGTTAAAGTTGTAGGGAGCTAATAAATTCCAGTAAAACTTCCACGTTATTTATATATTTAAAATTACCACAAATGGAAATCACCTGGACTTCAGAGTATGACTAGGTTTTAGCATCTCTTGTCCCTCTCCCTCAATGAAAGCCCACAAAATGCAAGCTGGATGACGTACTATCTTTTGAATAGATTTCTGCGGCTTCCTATCACTGAGCTGACGTATGTGGCCATGGGGTATCTGGGCTTCACCTTTAATCACCTATAGATTTGGAAAATATCCCACTTCTACCTTGCCAACCCACATAATGGGAAAAGATGATTAGGTTCCTCGATGTACCTTTTACACGAAGTACCTATTGCACGAAATGAGCGCATTTTCCTCTGGTTATACTGAGTTAGGCAGCTTCATGTACTGCTATCCAACCAAAATGGGAAGCTTTTATTGGGGCTCTGCTTTGACTGGCAATTTCCAAGGCAAAGACTTAGGCTTAGTGTCCTTGCAATATGAAGCATATTGTAATAACACGTTCTAGAGTGAATTTCCCTGTACTGTTACCTTTTCTAGTTGATAAGTCAACCTTATGTCTAATCCAAATCCTTTCTTCAGTTTCTGTAACGTGGAGGTTAGGCTCTAAATTCCCTATCTTGGCAATAGCTTATGTTCCAGCTACCATTTGCATAGGTATTGAGATCAGAAATTACAACTCATATACAAATGTTAATCTCCCGAAAGATCCATCAAACTATCTATACAAAGGGTATGTCCTCCTCTTAATACCAAAATACAAGTAAATTAATGAAGAAATTCTAATCTCACCTCTTCCCAAATGACCTTCACTTTCGTCCAATCTTACATCCTCAAACTTAGGCCTTCAGTTATGAAGATCGACACTGTATACAGGATGTAGTTTCTGGGACGATCATGTTGTGATATTAGTGAGAGACTTTTTGATTAATCACGAAAAAAAGGAGCTTGATGACTTAAAAACTGCATTGTTTTTCTGTTACAAATGTTGTGAACCAAATGCTGCTATAATTAACACAACTTGTGGCAGGCTGCAGTTGAAAAGGGTAAGAATCCAGAGAGTGGTGAAATCTCATCTGCTGAAAATTCAGTTGGCGTTCCAGAGCAGGTTGAGTCAGTTATGTCCCAGATAAACAACCTTGCGATATCTGCAAATCCTGTTGTCCCCCCTTCAAATTCAATCGAATCTTCTGCCGTGGGAGATAGTGTGCAGGACATTGACAAAAAGATCCGAGCTCTGAAGAAAAAGGTATGTCCTCCAGTGCTTCCAGTTCTCCAAAGGCATGCCATCATTCGAGTTCTTTAACATAACTTAGATGCTTCTTACTGCATTTTAGAGATGCTCGGCTATCATCTTTGTTTTCCATGCCTTGGTGGAATTTATTATTCTACTTCACAATTGGATGGTGGAAAAAAATTGTTGTTTCCATTTTGTACATCAAAATGGATGATTCGGTTTTGTTTCAAGGTAATGACATGTTTGTGCATATTTTTTGAATCCATAACAACTGCATACATGTGGTGGTTCACCTTTATGTTGTATTTTCAATCCAAGGTGCTCCCATCTCAACACTTTGGTCAAATGTGACATGGATGGGAATATCACTTTGGAACTTCTTTTTTGAGAATGACCTCTTGGAACTGTCGAACTGTGACATGAGGATGTCCGTTTGATTTCTACTAATGGTTCATCTTTCAAATACTACATATATTAGAATCTGGTCATTGGGTAGTTTTGGAAAGATTTGGGTTTTTACTGGTAATTTATTTGTACTATCAATCTAATATTAAAAAAACAGCCTTTTAATCGCTGGTGACTTATCTGTAGTACGTTCTGGGGGGG